TGGCGTTGCGTAGAGATGTGGGATCTCTCTGCATCTTCTACCGCATTTACCATGGAGAATGTTCAGAGGAGTTGTTCGGTCTAATACCTGCAGCTGAGTTTCATCATCGGACGTCAAGGCAAAATACAAAATACCATCCGTATCACCTCGACGTCCGTCGTTCCACAACAGAGCGTTTTCTAAGGCAGTTTTTGCCGCGCACCACCACTATGTGGAACCAGCTGCCCACAGAAGTATTTCCGAACCAATTCGACTTAGGGTCCTTCAAGAAAAGAGCGTACCAATTCCTGAAAGGCCGGCAACGCACTTGCGAGCCTTCTGGCATTGTGAGTGTCCATGGGCGGCGGTATCACTTAACATCAGGTGAGCCTCCTGCCCGTTTGCCTCCTATTACATAAAAAAAAAAAAAAAAAAGGAATATGTCAATTTTAGGTCGGTCAATCTTTATACGTAAATCATCCTATCAGGCCTATCGTCATGATCGTAGAACAATGACGGTTTGAAAAAAAATCCAAAATCCACTTTTTATCATATTTGGATACTACATTGACTAAATATTACGGCTACACTAAAAAAAATTTTCATGTGTTTTAAATTTCAAATTAATCAGTGGGTAAAGTGACGGATTTGATAGAAGCTCATTGACGTTTCTATAAAATCGTGTAATTTAATTTTATTTTGTTTCAATAGAAACCATATTGTTTGCTTGTATGTCAATTTTCATAATTACAGAACATTAATTAAAAAAGTTAAAAACTAACATGATTATATTATTTTGAAATGGTTGTCCTGTAAAGTTTGCTATTTGTCAGATGTCACTATTCTATGACTATGACGCTATGTATTTGCAACTTGCATACTTAAAGATCTACTGTAATTAATTTATAGTTGCAGACATCAGCTGTTGATAATTAATATAATTATACAATAATTGGCGTCGTAGTTTATGGGTTTGAGTTCTTAAATATTTTCATAGTACAATGCCTCCTTAAATTTAATGACATACCTTAAACACTGGCGCTAAAGTATTTCGTAATAAAGTGTGAGAATTGATATTCATATGGTACGGATTCCATCGGCCAAACTCACTTGAAGTTATGAATGTAAAGTTTCTACCATGACCAAGGAATGGAAGGTCTTCGCTTGGGGGTTTGTAAATAAACCACCTAAAAAACCTATTTTTTAAATATCAAAATTTCTAGTTTCGTGCTATTTATCATCATCGTAAAGCGTTTCTTGCTAAAGTAATATTTAAAAGTAAATGTGTTTAGAAATACAATACATGGCCGTATCCAGAGGGGATGATGGGGTCATGACTACCCCGGGCACTAAACAGGGTACTCACTTTATCCAATTTTTTTGATACCGCTACAAGACATCTCCTATATATGGATATTTACGAATTCTGTATACAAACGTTCCAAATCGGTCGCTTTATACACTCATTATAATCACAGAAATGTGTGTATATAGTTTCATACAAAGAAATTTAGGTTTCAGCGACTTTACCAGACTCGAATTCTGTATTGCTTTAATTAATACCATTGTTAGAGCAGTGTTGGCCTTGTGGCTTCAGCGTGCCGTCCTCATACCTGAGGACGTAGGTTCGATCCCCGGCTGTGTACCAATGGACTTTCTTTCTATGTACGCATTTAACATTCACTCGAACGGTGAAGGAAAACATCGTGAGGAAACCGACATGTCTTAGGGCCGGTTTTTTGATCCGTAGTTAACTCAACTATTGGTAAAAAATCGTTACTATTAGTTAAATATCAGGAAAATGCGTTTTTTGATCCGTGGTAAGAGCATCCAATGGTAAAATATCTAACCATTAGTCAAAAAAAGTTAACTACTCAGTATCGGAGGGTTAAAAAGATGGCCGCTGGTAATTTATATACTAACAGCTGTTTGTCACAGAAATCAAACTATGATAAATACGTTTATTACTATCTAATGATGAATTTAAACATATTGAGATACTTTAATTAATGAGACGATGAAGAAGGCGATAATATTATATGAGAATGTGTTAATGAGTGACCAAAAATATTTAGGCAATGTCATCCGCCATTAGAAACCTGGGATGATGTAGATTTTTGTCACTGTTACCCCCTATCGAAGGGAACAGTGCTCTGGATTGTTACTGAAATTGGGAATGATCTTAAACTGCCAATGAACAAGAGTATATATAGACAGCAGCTCATACCAACCTATTTTGCTTCATTACTAACTACAGAACCGCAGCAGTATATAATTAAGTATATTACTAATTCATTATGTGTTTTATTGCCTATAATATTAACTTATAATTATTATAATTAAATAAAATACAAGAACAAGAGTATATATAGACAGCAGCTCATACAAACCTATTTTGCTTCATTACTAGCTACAGAACCGCAGCAGTATATAATTAAGTATATTACTAATTCATTATGTGTTTTATTCCCTATAATATTAACTTATAATTATTATAAGTTAATATTATAGGCAATAGAATACATAATGAATTAGAGTTAATATTATTTATATATTACTAATAATATTAACTTATAATTATTATAAGTACATACAAGTATGTACTTATACTAAAAACTACAGCTACACATTAGTTAGGGACCTATGATATTCTTTAGGGCTTTTATTACATTTGTGAGTTAGCATCTATCTACTTTATTACAAGAATTTATAAATAAAACATTTGACTTGATTAATAAACTGTTTAATTATAACTTAAATACAAACCATTTTTATTAAAAAAACATTACAAAATTTACATGAAACCCTAAAGTAGCAATTAAATATTTTCTAATTGTTTCTTCTTGCATTTCACCTCAATTTGATGCAACTCTTTTTGCTGCTACATATATTTATTGTGCCTTTCTTCCATCTGCTGCATCACTTTTTGGTGCACCTCCTCTTTATGCAGTATGAATTTTTGGTGGGCCTCTCATTGGTGCAGCAAATGTTTTTGATGCTCTTCCTAAGCATAATTGAACAAATCATCCTCTCTTATTTGTCTTTGTTTCTAAACTCTTTTTTTATCCGTGTGGATCATAATCCGCTTCCTTGTTTCCAAAGGGTTAAAAGATTTTTTCCTTTTGTTGTAGGACACAGCTATACAAGAATAAATATAAAAATGTGCCTACACCTTCATTAAATGTATATTAAATTTAACACTTCGGTGTCTAGACCCATCTGAGTTGAAAACGTCACAGAGATTTCCAAGCTGCATCTTTTTGTACATTGCTGCAGTGATCAGTTGTTTGCAGGTTACGACTGTGTAATCCTTGAGAAGCATCACCAGTTTGGCAGTTTCTTTTTTGGCGAAGTTAGCAGTATGGTCCCTTTAACAAAACATAAATGTATTACTTTCTATTACGAAACACAAGATAAACCGGAATAAATAACACGAAAATATGTTTGAACTTACTTATTTGACCGTTGGCTGTTTGCGGACATCGTTATTTATATATTTAAGTATCGTAAAAAGTGTAAACCGTATTAAATCACAGAAAAACAACTTTATTTATATCGTGTTATTTAGATTAATTTGACACTTCAAACTCTTCAAAGCGCAAATAACGAATGAAGATGGCAAAAATGGATTTCATTCACTCAATATGTCTAGTGTTGTCATACAAAATAAATGATCCCCACAAAAAAGAACCACATTTTTTGGGATGTCATTGCTCATTGCACTGGCAACAAATTGACAAATTGTTAACTTTAACTATAGTTAAAAAAGGCATTGAAAAACGCATTTACGATTTTACCAATGGTTATTCATTTAACTATAGTTAATGTAACAAATGGTAAAACCATTTTTTACTACGGATCAAAAAACTGGCCCTTAGACCCAAAAAGTCAACCGCGTGTGTCAGGCACTGGAGGCTGATCACCTACTTGCCTATTAGATTAAAAAATTATCATGAAACAGATTCAGAAGTCTGAGGCCAAGACCTAAAGAGGTTGTAGCGCCACTGATTTTTTTTTTAATTAATACCAATAATTACCGTATAGAAAAAATATTTTTTACCAGTCAATAGGAACATCATAGTTATCCCTACAGTGCAAGTTTACATAATTCCATCCTTTTTTTCCATATACATTATGTATACAAAACACAAATACATAAAAGCGAATGTCCATGTTACACTGCGCAACTATGACTAAAAATACTGAATATGCATATTTCGATGTCTACACTCAAGAATGCACATAAGTAATAAAACATAATAATAAAAAGCTTTTATTATACACAATAAAATGAAAAATTTACATTACAAAAGAAAATATTTACAGTAGTAAAAAAAGCGTCCGTAATGCGGAAAACTGCTGACTTCGACTCCCAACGAAAACATAATTGTTTTGAGTTCATCCCACAAATTCTGATAAATTCTGTGCCCCCCATTGTTAGACTCTAATAAGTCGCTATCATCTAGATAAGTACACTCTATGCGCTTGCACTTTCGAATGAATTTACACAAAAAATAACTATTAATAAATTTAATACAATTTTTCATAAATTAAAAGATATCTTAACTACGCCATATTTACAACTTTGCTTAAACTATTTATCACAGAAAACATATCCTTTGATTAGAGAAATCTTATTCGCCTCTATTAATTGCATGAAAAAATAAAATATTTCCACTCTTGAATAGTACTCTTTTGTCTCTCTCTGTCAAATTGTGTTTACATTGTGATGAAAAGAGACGGGGAGACTAGTCAAAATGCCGCAATACAATGATTTATTTTGTCTTAATATTTAACTTTTGTCTTAATCGAAGGTAGGGATATAGGTATTTCAGAGGTAAGTAGTAACATAGATTACTAAGTTACCTAGGAATCTTGATAAAAAGGACTTTAATAACACTAGAATTCTTCCTCCTCTCAACAAAACTCTTTAATAATAAAGTATATCGACGTACTAAACTATTGTTTAATATCGCCGTCAATTTTAACTTCTTTGAACTTCTCTAATCAAAGGTTTAAATCTAATTATTACAAGATTGAACAGATTCGATTAAATGCGCGAAATTACCCCAAAGTATGGGACCAGACGTACAAACTGTTCCACCACCACGGGACTCTTGGGGCAACTGAAAAAAATCAAATATTTTGCACAAAGAGATACATATGTTATATGTTATGATATGTGTCAAATATAACCGACTTCAAAAAACCGAAGGCGGTTATCTAGTCTATACTCTGATTTTTCCTTCCGTAGAGTTCCGTGTTGCTACTTAAAAAAGTTCTCCACCGAAAAAGAGACAAATTTGACTTATGTGAGGGCAATAAAAAAAAGGGTGCGTGTACTTGTACGCGCGTAAAAAGTTATACTTCTTAGGCTATCATTTTTTTTAAATATTAAATAATTAATAACAAATATTTAACGTTAATAATTTAATATTATTCAATTATTAATTAATATTAATAATAATTATTATTATAATTTATTATTCATTCAATTTAATAACTACGTATGTTTCATAACCTTTTAACTAAGTAACAATAGGTCTTTGTGAAAAAGCATTGCTAAATTTCTTTGAAAAAATAATTAAAACTCCTTTATTTGTTTAAAAGGTAAATGTCATTATGTTCATTCAAAATTCTTAGCATAGCTGCTAACTTCACGCATATTCTATTTCTTTCTACTTGTAGATTGTCTTATTCCCATCTCGCTCGCACACGCTATAATCACACTGACAACTTTGTGTCACAGGTGCGCGCGCATCGTAAAATTTCACTCTCATCAATTTTTCATAACGCGCCTAAAGAAGTATAACTTCAAAAAAGGCTACGTATTTTTTATGTTTTACCTACAAAAATGTAAATCTCAATATTTACTTACTCAAGCGACCTAATACAAAAATAACAAATATTTCAATATCACGAACAATGTATCGAATTAACTTTAATTACTTTATTTTATTATTTAGCTGGCATCACTGCCTACTAATTCCAGGCTTAGTAAAGCTTTTAAAAAAAATACAATGTTATCTTTACTTATGCGTTTTTAAATGTTTGTGATGAAAAGGGACGAAATTATCACTCGCCGTTAAATCACTTTTAATGTGAGCACCGCACTTAATAAAATGGATATATTCACTAACAAATAAAATGTATGTATAGACTCAGATGTTCAGACTCATATTGAAATTGAAAAATGTGCCCGGCCAAAAAGGTTTGCCATCTCTGACATGTCAAAAAATGATAGCTGTCAGAATTCTACGGAATTAAAAATTAGAGTGTGAGTGATTTTTTATTAATTGGTAAATAAATGTTATTTTTTTATGTAACAGTGAGCAAACGGGCAGGAAGCTCATGTGATGTTAAATGATACCGACGCTCAGACACTCACATTTCCAGAGGACAAGTGTGTTGCCGGCCTTTTAAGAATTGGTAAGGTCTTCGCGGCAAAACTGCCTTAAAAAATGCTCAGTTGTGGAAGGATGGATGCAACGGCGGATCCAGAGGGGGGGGTCATGGGGGTCATGACCCCCCCCTGAGCAGGACTTAGGTGGACCACTAATTGAACATAATGATTTTATATATAAATTTGTCACCATACAGATTATATGTAACTACATACATTTCATATTTAATTAAGCTAGACCTTACCTCAACCGGAATCGGAACGACTAAACTTCAACATATCATAACATAGTCTTATTTTAAATTGTGACATCAATATGTATACTAATATAGGAAAATTGGATACCCTGTCAGCGAAGCGACAGCAGAAAGGTCTTTCTCTACGTTGCGCAGAATTAAATCGTGGCTAAGATCTTCAATGGTTGAAGATCGCCTAACCGGACTGGCACTTCTCCACGTTCATGAAAACGTACCCTTTGACGTAAATGACGTAATAACGCGTTTCGGGAAAACACGTTAAAGAAAAATTGATTTAGTTATTATAATATATTTTTAGGTATTTTGTCTGTTTCTATTTTGTTTGATGGAATCCCTTGTCGTACCATCTCTTCACTTTTGCGAAGTTTAACGTAATACCCCTCGACATACCTCTAGCTGTTATGACAAATCATTCACCACGGTTATGTAATATAAATAGGCTGCCTCATTCCGTACGTGATAGTCAGGCCGAGCTAAGCTCGCCAAAACAGCCCGAGCTGAGCTGTAAAGGCCCTAAAGGCCAACAGCGAGATTCCACTTCAAAAAAAAAAAAAATACGTGATAGTGTTTCTCTGGTTGTCTTCAAGAGAAGATGGTAATATGTACGTGTATACAGGTTGGTCCAACTAGTGACGTCAATAATTTTTTTTAGATTCCTCACACCTGGGGGATACGAAAATACCCCATGTATGTTCCGCGATTTTTTGTAGTTTCGAGTTATACATTTTTTTGTGTTTTTTGAATGTTTTCTGCCAGCGAGGTTTCAAAAATTCATATCTTTTTTGTTGTAGGTATTTTGCAGTTTTTTTTCTGTTAAATGATTGCCTTAAATGATGTTCAAGTAAAAAAAATCCCAGCTTCTTAAAATTAGTTAAAGCTACTCTAAAAAGGTTTTAAAGTTAGAAGTTTAGTTTTTAGCTGGATTTGCCCAAACATTCGACTTCAATTTAAAAATACAAAAAGAAGTTTTTATAGCTTCTGGCTAAGTTTAAAAACTCCTCAGGGTTCTAAGCTACCAAAATCATAGAAAAAAAATGATACTTAATTGGTCTTTTTTTGTTGTAATCGGTGGATTTTTTTTTTGTGGATAGGCTAAAAATCATTGAAGCATTAAAAATGTTTTTTTTTCGACTTTTATTATTCTTATGGTAAATAAAACTTAATAATGTGGTTTTTTAATTAATTTTAATACCCGTAAAATAAATGTAGCTGTAATCGGCCTTTTAATGTGGATAGGCAAAAAATCATTGAAGCATTAAAACTGTTTTTTTTTTAACTTTTATTTTTCTTATGGCAAATGAAACTTTACGATCTATTTTTTACTAATTTTAATACCCGTAAAAAAAGTAGCTCGTGTAATCCTTACAATAATTTTGGTCTTACCACTCAAAATTCAAAATGTTATTCGAAATGAGTATTGCTAGTTGTGAAATTACCTGTTTTTTTTTAATAACAAATAAAAAACACAATTTACTGAAAAAATACTATTTCTAATATATAAAATTCTCGTCTCGCGGTGTTTCGACACTCGAACTTCGTTCGAACTTCTCCGAAACGGCTTGACCAATACTCATGAAATTTACCATAAGAATAATAAAAGTCGAAAAAAAACATTATTAATGCTTCAATGATTTTTAGCCTATCCACCTTAAAGGCCGATTACAAATAAAATACCAATTAAGTGCCATTTTTTTTCTATGATTTTGGTAGCTTAGAACCCTGCGGAGTTTTTAAACTTAGCCAGAACCTATGGAAACTTCTTTTTGTATTTTTAAATTGAAGTCGAATGTTTGGACAAATCCAGCTAAAAACTAAACTTCTAACTTTAAAACCTTTTTTGAGTAGCTTTAACTAATTATAGGAAGCTGAGATTTTTTTTATTTGAACAACATTTAAGACAATCATTTCACAGAAAAAAAACTGCAAAATACCTACAACAAAAAAAGATAGGAATTTTTGAAACCTCGCTGGCAGAAAACATTCAAAAAACACAAAAAAAATTATAACTCGAAAACTACAAAAAATCACGAAACATACATGGGGTATTTTCGTATCCCCCAGGTGTGAGGAATCTAAAAAAAATTTATTGACGTCACTAGTTGGACCAACCTGTATGTACACAATATTATGTGTTAAGTTTTTCAAGTGTACAATAAAGAATATTTTTAATTGCAATACTTACGTACATTAATAAAATACCTACTTTTTACTTGTATCTATTGTTATCAAAATTAAATTATAAGTTCTTGACTTGACCACGACTATGTGACCCCCTCCTGGCGCCAAAGCTGGATCCGCCCTTGGACGGATGTCGAGGTGATACGGGCGGAATTTCGTATTCGGCCTATTAATGAGGTCTAAGACAGTTTCCACGGGATGTTTTCCTTCAAGATAAGTATAAATTGCTCACAAGATACTTACAGCTCTATTAATATCTCCGACACACACCCAGTAGTCTGCTACTTTGGTATCCTGACTATTGTGCATCTTGTGAGCCACGGCCACGGCCCACTTCGAGTGGTCGTTGTGAGAGGTAAACGACATCTTGGCTATGGGAAATTTTAGGCGTTCGATGTTTCGGACCCTGTACATATTTAAAAAAGATTTTCAGTAAACAAGTAATTAAAAAAAAGTATAGGTATGTAAATTATGAAATAAATGCAAAAATTCACAATCAAAAATCAAATCACGGGCGTTGAGTAAAGTTCTATTATATCTATCCTGTAGTTATATATAGGTTATAAAAAAAAACTTGTGTGTATTTATGTACACACAATACACATGTTAGAAGTTATACATCTTTGGCGTAATAATTTTCTTCGAGCACTTTAGAGGGACGTTTCCCTCTTGGAATTGCATTTTTCTTGTCCATTTTAATGGTCACTTCCAATCGAAACGATATAATATTTACTAATCATGATATTTTACAATAAACACTATGTTTTTTATCTCATTGGAAAGGGTTTTCTCGTATAGAAATCATTATTTTAGTTTGAATAAACACGACTCTAAAAACTCTACGCCATGATAAAACAGAGCAAGCGCCAACTAGCGGCCCAGACTGTTTTACCGACGTTTGAACAGATACTCAGGGTGTCGGTTTTAAGTGAGTGTGCGCGCGCATCGAAAAATTTACTATCATCATTTTTCCCTAACACGCCAAGAGAACTATAACTTCAAAAAAATTTAACTACGCTTGTCCAGCCCAAAAATCTGTAAAATGAAACTTACTGGAAATTCCTATTACATTCCGAATCCAAAGTTCCCGGTCCATTCATCCAAGACTCAACTAAAAGATCAGACTGCAATACTTCAGCCACTAAACCACTGTACAAATCGTCGTTGAACATCGCACTTTTCGCAAATGACAGGAATTTGCGACCAACTAAAGTTTCGAAGCTTTCTATGTGGTACCTGGAATTATTAACACGAAAATTAATTCTTAATGTACATGTCAATTAATTATTTATATCACCCTTAATATTTTTGCATGTAAAGCTCATAAAATAAAATGTCTTTATTTATTATTTAATTTACTAAGATTTATATTTCTTTCTCTTCTCGAAACTACGATATCTAGGCACAATGATTGGTGAAAAGGGTGACCATAGCATCTCTGCTGCTCTACGGCGTAGAATCTTGGACGGTGACAGAGACTCTGTCTAAAAAACTGGAAGCGTCTGGAAAAAACCTGGAAACTGGAATCTGGAATCCAGTAAAAAACTGGAATCTGGGTTTATCGACGTATGCTTAAAATATCACCGATAATAGGTTAGGTAATAGGTTTGATATTCGTAGTAGTTATTGTAGTACTCGCTGCATCACTAGGAAATATATTTAATTAATTTATTGGTGTAAAAACGATGCTATATATTTATATTTTTTTCATCCATAACAAAACAATATGATTAATTCAAATATTATTACAAATAAAAACGTAAATAAAGTCCAACTCACCAAGGCGATGCATCCACAGTTTTATTTCGAATGACATCTACCAAATTGGGTAATTCATTTTCAAATTCCTGCGGCAAACGATGATATACTATTGATGGCTCGTTGTATTTCAACTGCATGCCGATTTGGTTAAGTGTTGCCGTTTGGACGGATACGCAAAGGAACGATTGCCCAAACTTCATGCCGCTTGTTGGATAACTATATGAACTTGTGTTTAGACCATTACCTAAAAAAAGCATTGAGTTTGTTTAATTAAAATAAAATATAAATCAGTGGCGCTACAACCTCTTTAGGTCTTGGCCTCAGATTTCTGAATCTGTTTCATGACCATTTTTAAATCTCATAGGGAAGTAGGTGATCAGCTTCCAGTGCCTGACACACGCCGTCAGCTCTTTGAGTCTAAGACATGTCGGTTTCCTCACGATGTTTTCCTTCACCCTTCGGCCACTAGGCCAACACTGCTCGTTTGTTTAAATTACCATTTTCAAAATCCCTAGGAAAAGGTTTACAATTTGATATGTAATTTTTTTTAGTTAGTTCTGTGTAAGCAAACAGATAAACTTTTTATGAATTAACTAAGTACTTACTGTCTGGTACAGGTGGAAAGCGTGGCACAGAATGAACAAGCCATGAGGAAGTGAACTTGTCACCAAGAATAACACCTTTAGTATGGCCATTCTCTACTCTAGTTTTCATGAATTTCGAATGCATTTTACACATTTCAGCTAAATCATAATCATCATAGTATTTGTCACCAAGTTTGAATTTTTTATATTTTTTCATAGTAGATTGGTTCTGTTGGCCTGAAAATGTAACAATAAGGGCTAAATAAATCTGAAACTGAAGACATTTGAATTTATAATGGTATAAAAACTAGATGGATCTATCAAAAATAGGAGCTATATTTATTATGATAATAGGAAAATAATTAAAAAGCTTTGTACCATAACCCCCTAAGATGTTGAATGGGGCAGATATGTGTCTGGTAATTCTTATTGCATTTACTGTATAGCTAGTAGGTCTTCCACACCTACTAACGCAAGATATAGCAATAGATTCATCAGATCTCAATGAAAGATCTGTAGATTTACCTTTTTTACTCTTAGAATACATTTCTGCCACAGATTGTAATAAATCAGGCTTATTTTCCGTTGATGGCGGTTGGTCATTGTAAATTACTGAAATTGTGTTTTTATCCTGAAATTACAATTATTTTCATGAGCTGGCACCAATTCAATAAAAACTTACAGAAGTATAGGTTGTGTTGTTGCATCTTTACCTGATATAAAGGTGCTAAGGTTCTGCCAACCATTGAACGAGGGTCACCAATTGATAAATCTGACATAATCCAACCCCCTCTAAGCTTAGATGGTGTCAGATGCATGTAAGCTACACCTCGTCTTACTAAAGGATTCAAATGGTTTCTTTCCCTGGGTAACTTGTAAACATAGAACCTGTAGTTATTACATATGTTGATTATACAGTCATAGATTTTACTTAATCATTTGAGTTAATTAATCCAAATATTATTTATATTGTTAAAAATTACATAGAGTTACTTAGTAATAATAATTTTACCTTAATATCATCAGCAGAAATAGGTTAGCTAGCATTATTGACATGGAATACTTAAATGAGACATAGTTTCTGTATCAAGCATATAGTCAGTCTCTTACTCATATGTAAATAAAAACACAATTTTAATGTAAAATTTACATCATGAAGTGACAGTAATTAAAAATACTCATATTAAACAATAATATAATATAAAGAAACTTTGTCTTTAAATATACTAGATAGATATATCTTTAAATACTTTGTTGAGCCAGTTTTTTAATTTAAACTTACCAATCTACTGGCTCTCCTCGTTCATTCCTGCACTGCGGAGTCAATCCTAAACTATGTGTAAGGAATAATATTAACACTGTGACACTGGTATTCATTATGAAACGTGTTTGGCCCATCATTTCTACCGATCAAGTAACAAAGGAAACTCGAATTGCTAGAATAACATGATGTCATGTTACGAACATTACGATTAAACAATGTGTGTTTACAAACACAAATTGCTATTGCTTTAGTATGTATCATAAACAATGAAATAATCTAATTTATTAATTCATTTGCTTTTCATTTACAAAAATGTTTTATTTTCGAATACTTATACATACTTTAAATACACCTAGCTTTACTAGCAAGTAGAATTTAGGAAAAGTTTAGTATAAATTAAAAATAATAAGATTTTAAAAATGAGAAGCTCTTCTAAAAGAACTCAACTGTCAACGTCATATTCGATTGTGACCAGATGTTTCAATAGTGCTTAAGTGTCAATTACATGCGCTCGAGTTGAGAGTATTAACAATTTAAACAAATATTTTCTATTCAGTAATTTTTTAACCTGATTACCTCTGCGAATTAAGACAATGCCTATTGCCTTTGTCTAATTAGTAATCGTAGATTTTTAATTAAAATACGTGTTTAGTTGTAGGGTCAACATATTTTAAATTGTATATACTTTATGATACATTCTCGACTTAAATTACCAAGACATTGTTAAGTTATAAATGAAAGTCAATCGTTTTTATGAATATAATTTACTTAACATGATACATAATAAACCTTTAACAAAATATAATGGAAGACATGATTATGTAATTATAACAATATGATACAAAAAATAAATGCTCTTTACATTTTCTCCTAAAATAACTGAATTGAGTATTACTGTTGTGTCGGCATAGAAACAGCCGCTTTAGTATGAGAAACGTCGCTTTGCCTCCAATATGACACCACCGTCTTCAACTCTGTATAGAAGTCAATACCCTGTTTACCGCAGAAGTGATTTGTACCCAAAAAGCTTCCCCTGGTTCCACTAAATGAGAACATAGACAATGGAACCGGAATCGGCACATTTATTCCAACTTGACCAACGTCGATTTCCGCCGCGAATTTTCTGGCTGTTGCCCCATTCGTAGTAAACACAGCTGTACCGTTTCCGTATGGATTTGAGTTAATTAGAGTAATTGCTTCGTCTAATGTATCCACGAAGAGGCAGACTAGAACTGGGCCAAATATTTCCTCTTTGTAACATTCCATGTTTGGTTGGACGTCAGTCAAAATTGTAGGACCGACAAAGTTGCCCTTTTCGAAACCAGAAACCTTGACTCCACGGCCATCGAGAACTAATTTGGCACCTTCCTTTACACCTGGGAAAAATTCAATCATATTTATTTTGTTTTAGGTTTTAAAGGTGTTTGTAATCTTAAAAACTTATATGTAATCGATTTTTAGTCTTAATCTGATATTAAACATTGTACCACAAGTACTAATTAATATTCAAGAAGGAGGTTAACTAAATTTCTGATTTAAATACTTGTCTTTGTTAATTTATTGGTCAATTTGAGTTACATTGACAAGTAGTATTAATTCTTTTTTTTTTAATAAAAAGAAACCGTATTCGTCGTCACTGTACATTGGCCCTGATATATACAATTATATATATACATATATCCTAACAAAAACAATACATGGTTTTTGTTATAAGATCTTACATAAACATCAAATCATTCAGTATTGATTGTAGCAATGTATGCCTTGCCAAATTCACAATATCACAGAGATATTTTGAAGTAATATCTCTCTTTAATACATAAATTGAAACAATCTGCTTGTGTACTGGTGCGGTTGAGGCATGCAATAGTAGAGTGTTAATTTAAAAAAAATGATTTGTTTAGACAAGATGGTAACCTATTATGAATAGTCCTTGAACTTTTAAGATTATAAGATTAAAATATAAATTAACCTGATTCGACAAGTTTGTGTATCCGTTCCTTAGCTCTAACAGAGATGACTGGACCGACGTCTGTTCCGGGCACATGTCCCGCGTTCACTTTGAGTGCCTTTCCTCTCTCAACCAAGTCGGGGATCCATTCCTTAGCTTCGCCTATAAGGATAATAATTCCATAAAATAGTGTTGTATTATTGGCATCATCAACGTTGGTACTAAACGAATTATCTTCGAGACTGCCAAATCACGAATAGCAAATGAAAAATTAAGTTAAACACACATCTAAGTAACAATAAATCACTTGATATTGATAGAGAATAGAAAAGACCAAAGATTAAGAATTGGTATTTCCATTATTAACTAACATTATTTGAAAGGATTATAAACATAAAAACAAAGACAACACCAAATGGTGTCGATTAGATAACGTAAGCTAATACAAATATTAGATAAGAATAGAAAAAGAGCACCGGAATTTTAAGTTAGAAAATAACAAAAGATTTTTATTAATTTAATAGTTAAGTTAAAAAGCGCTTACCAACAAACACAACAGTACTAAGGGCCATACACCTTTGTCCCGCAGCACCGAACGCGGCACCCGCTAGCTGGTTCAATGTGTGCTCTTTATTTGCGTCCGGCATTATTACACCATGGTTTTTGGCTCCCATGTTACTTTGTACACGTTTGCCTAAAATATATGTGGATTAGTGGGTAGATTATTAGTTTATGCGATTTTAACTACCCTCATTTAACTTAATATTTTCGAATTTTAATAGACCCGTCCCGGTTTTTGAACGTGTGCTTTTTTCAATTACATACCATTGGCAGATGCCCTGCTGTAAATATGTTTGCCAGCCGCGTCTCCGCCAACAAACGACACAGCCTTAATATCTGGTTTGTCGCAAATGAAATTCACTGTGTCGTGTGTACCGTGGACAACCTATTAAACATTTTGGATAATATACTTTTAGTAATTAAACTATATTCAGTGCAGGTTAAAATAGGACGTAATGACAAGGATACGAAATGGAATGCTTAGGTGGTTTACAACGGATGAATAAGAAGCGGGTATGGGAGCGTTCAAGTATTACGTCACGCAATTTTTGGAGATTATTGACCCCCCCCATGTAACGTGCCGTAACGTTTTTCTGTACCCAAGTCTAGTAAAACGTTTCGTGACCAGCTAGTGACTCTTTATACCTACAAGTTACCATTATGTGGTGTATAGTAATAGTAACTATAACGCGTAATTCAATCCCCGCCCCGCATCGTAACGTTATACAAAAGGACAAAAAATACGTTACGTAATACTTGAACGCTCCCTAACAAGTAGGATTTGCGTGTTGTTCCCACGAGAATGTAAGTGCGTGCTCCTATTTCACCATGCCTCCTGCTGATAGACAAATCTTTGTTTTTAATTAATTTTATTATTATTAATTACTTAAGATGTCATGTGGAACATGGTGTAATGGTTGCAGCTCCTTACAAACGTTGTGTAAAACATAAAACATGGCATTAAAAAGAGTCGCGGAGAGTTTATTGCCAGACCTTCTCTTCCGTTCTACATCCTTGATTTGAGAACTGGCAGTAAATGTAAAATTAGAAGCATTTCATATATTTCTTTTTTGAAGTTCATAAGAGTACATTGTGTTACTTATATGAATAAATTATTTTGAATTTTTGATAGAAAAGGCTACCGTGGATGGTGAGATCGGTTTATGTAGGCCTTGTCGTACATACCTGGTACAAATAAGTCTGGGACAAGTACCCCCATAACCGACGAGCATGCATGGTGAATGCAATGAAAGTGGATGAAGCGAGAGAGGAATGTCAGGACTGTAGCAAGTGGAGATCCGTGGTCTCAGCCTACCCCTTCGGGAAAATGGCGTGATAATATAAGATTAAAATATAACATTCAATTTCGTTACAAGATATTTAAAAATGTAGTTAAAACATTGAATATTCGAATGTGTTTGCTTTTAGGACCTTTTTACTAATATCTTTTAACAAGCTATTAATATCTCGTCACCAGGGTTTTTGTCCCCAATCCCAAAAACGTTATCATGATGATCAGCAGGTGTAAAAAAATTGTAAAGGAATTATTTTTTTACACCAAATAGGTGTTCATACTACGAAATCACCTCGACTTTCACCTCCAACGCTATAAGTTACCTATTAAAGTATTTCCTAACCAATAATTCAACTATAGATAATATTAAGTATAGATAGTAAAATTTCTTCTAATTTTATGTGGTATGTTAAACTTACGTTAACAAGGCCTGGTGGAGCTCCAGCTTCTTGAAGCAGATCCATCATCATTAGGGTCGCTCCAGGATCTTGTTCAGATGGCTTCAGGATGCAAGTGTTACCAGTAACCAGTGCTGGTGGAAACATCCACAGCGGAATCATCACGGGGAAGTTGAATGCGGCAACACCTATAAAATTTAATACAGTCATATCATCTGAAAGAAATCAAACTTAAAAAATAGTGTTTCTACTTCATTCCACTATATTGAATATTGAAATGAACGTAATGAACACTGGTTCTGATGCTATAGATTATAAAACAAAAGCATTTATATCATCATTATATAAATCTAAAAAACAAATATAAATATTATTCACAAAAATCTAAATTAAATTAAAACAGTCAAAATATAGTAAGTATATGAATTGCAATATTATAAAAGGAATTGAAAACTTCGAGATCTTAAACTTACCGTTTACGAACTGCTGCTGTACTGGTTTTAAAGAGACATTGTACATTGTGAAACCTCAAGTCAGACACATTCACACACACACACTGTTTAGCTGACATTTTACTCTTATATGACCTTACTTTGAAGGTATATTTTTATTGTTTCTCCAATATTTAAACTTGAAAAGTGTTATATAAATAAAGTTACTTACCACCAACAACACCAATAGGTACTTTATAGCTATGAGTGTCCATGTCCCTGGAAATGTTCTGGATAGAATCACCAAGTTGGAGAGATGTGATACTGCAGCAATGTTCCACCGATTCTGTAATAAAAAATTATGCTGATTTTTATCCAGTCCTCAGAACACATCCAAGGGGCCATTCAAGTATTACGTAAGCAGATTTACTGCTATTTATATCCCCCCTCCTCTTATCAGCTAAGCTCTCAAAAATTATAGTACGGAAACGTATTAGTTTTTTTTGGAGGAATCCTCGAAAATGCATTTCGTTTTCAAGCATAGACAATTTGTGGGTAAAAAAGTAAATAATTACTGTTGACGTAATCACCAAATAAGAAAATAAAAGACCACCCCCCTCCCCCTCCCCCAATAGTGCTTACGTAATAATTGAACTTTCAAGGGATTGATACAAGAAAGTCAGTTTTCGTGAAAAAGTTATTGTTTTACTCATTCTTCAAAATTATTGTGTTACACATAAAACATAAACACATCTATCTTTATTGAAATGTGAAAAAACTTACGGATTCCTCTTAGAACATCGCCTTCAGCATCAGCGATAGTCTTTCCCTGCTCCTCTGTTATTTTGGCAGCTAACTTACTTTGATTTTCACGAAGTAAACGCGCGAATCTATTGGAATTTAAAAAAAAGTTATGGGGTCTGGGGATAAATTTTTACTTAAGATTGTGATAGTCACTTATTTTGTTTGTAAAAGCAGAGTAATAAAACTAAACCGTGAATGACAATCATCGCCACAAATCTAAGCCAAATCTCCGGTAAGATTAAAAAAACAAAAGCAATATTATAAAGACAAATCAGTTGTTACACACAGTAAAAAGAAGGGTTGTTCATCATTTTTGATGGTGCATCTCATAAAGTATGTATATCATTGTATATGTCTTATTTAAAGGTTCTTCCCAACTTTGTTACCACTCATAATAAAATTCCTAATTAAAATCATGTAATTTTAAGATAACACCACAATATATTTACATGAAATTTTTATTCATTCTTACTTGAACATAAGTTGCTGACGTGTCATAATAGTACTTTGACTCCATGATTTGTAAGCCTTTTTGGCTGATTCCAGAGCCAAATTTAATTCTTCTTGAGTTGTTTCAGGAACTCTGGAAAACAAAAAAAAAACAGGTTTACATACTTAATAATAACAATTGATATTCTTTTAGTCTAGTACTTCTTTAAGCTCTAGTTAAATTAATAGATGCCCAATTTTTTAAAGAAGTGTGGAGGGGCAAGGTGTGCGCGCCCTTCTTTCAACCAGTGAAACCTCTGAATGGCTGGCCCTGAGGACTTTAAGTTGATGTTGAGAAGTCATTGTAATTCTAATTTCAGATTGTAGCTGTTAGCTATAGAAATACTATGTTATTTGTAAGAAAGAGTAATTAACTAGTAAATAGCAAAACTAATGAATTTATTAAATACATTTTATTTTGCTTCTTAATATTATGTAACCTTCTGAAAGTAACTGTAAACATAAATTTAGTATAGCAACTCATTATCTGATATGACATATTTCATAGAAGTTGTTTACATTAAGACTGATAAAGTATTGTATAACATAATTTATTTTTAAAAATTAATTACAAATTCATTATATAACAATTTAATAATTGATAAAAAAATATATAAAATATACCTATTATTGATTATGTATATATGGGCATAGAAGCCTATTTTTTTCTCTAAGAACCTCTCCACTCCAACATTGATTACACTATTTTTTTAGAGTTGCTCAATGCAGCATTATATATGACAGACAAATTAAAATAAATTATTCAGCATTTTTATATTTTATATATTATATGCTTTGAGTTTTCTTTAAAGAGGTTAAAGTTTGATTGTTACAATTAATCTTATTTTTATTATTACAAATATTCAAAATTATGTAATACAGAATCATGGTATCTATTTAGTTTTTATTCTTCAGACTGAGGCAAATCATTACACATAACAATTTATGGATGGTATGAGTTATGGAGGTAAATAAGTAAAATTCTAATTATAAATAATTTTAATAATAATCCATTGGCAATATATGACTAGGGTCTGAGATTGCAACTATTTCTTTGATTCGTTTTATAGAGAAATAGTTGGCAAGTCTTCTGTGCAATGTACTCAATATACAAGAATATGGTAATTGACCACACAATGAAAAATCTATCAGTGTAAGTTGATAGTAACAGCTAAGTCTTTACCACTTATTTTACAACCTTATTTGCTTTATACAATATGAAATAAGTCTTGTGTGTAAAGGATATAGAATAGTCATGGCATGCATATTAAAAAATAATAAATACCTCCCAATAACTTCATTTGTAGCCGGGTTGGTGAGATCAATCCATTGGCTTGTCTTTGAGTCTACATACTGACCATCAATATATAGTTTTGTAGTCGGTGCTGAACTACTATAGTTACGGCGTAGCAGAATATGAGACTGAAAAACATAATTGAATCGGTCATTTTAAACATTTCTTAAGTCAAGTCAATTAAATTAATTAATACTGTTTTTACAAATGCATAAATTATATTCAAATTGAAAGTCATTCAGAGTGTATTCCGTTTTACGTTATAGAATATGTATTTTTTATTTGTTGTATTTCTCAGATATGTACATTTAAATCTGGTAGTGCATTATGGATAAAGTCATGTTGCTTCGAAGAAATATTCAACTACGCAACAAAAGACAATGTATTTGGTAACATGATTGTATTGTAAATTCAAATTTAACCAAGTGATGTATTAGAATATATGTATTTTACATTTCGTATTATAGCGTAAGAACGCAATAGAGTACGAAAATACTCCTTTGACATTTACTTGTTTTTATGATTAAATTCAAAAACACATTGTTTTACTACCTTATATATTCAATACATATTTCAAAAATATAAACTAAGCATACTCACTTCTGATTTTAATAACTTCAACATTGCTGAAGCCATAATGTTTAGACTTAAACTTAATGGCTAATGCAAGAAAACTTGTCCCGAAGGCGGCAGTTAGGTGGAAAGGGGGCCTGGCCGACTGATTAAAATTACAAAGTGATATCGTGACCTTGCGGCTTGAATTGATAAAATTAAATTATACGGTCTGTCGTCAGAGTAGGGATGACTTGTTTTGTACTGATTTAAAAATCTATGATAAAACGATAAAACTACGTTTTACAAAGTTATTTTTACCGGTCACTGTATACTAAACAAGCTAAATGTTAATATGGTTTGTCCCGTTAGCGAAGATGAAACCAAATACCATTTGAATTACATCTGCTTTTGTGTTATTTTTGGTATAGCTGAAAATATTTTTCGTGTTTGTAATTTGTAAATGTGAAATTACTAAATCTTTCATTCTCATTTTCGAACTCAAATCATGTAAGTATGTATTTGAATTTTGAATCATTAGGATTTCATAGAAAAGTGTCAAGTAGAGTAGTATAGTTGACGGCTGACAAATTACTGACAAATAATTTGTCAGCCGTCACCATATAACCCGCATGACAATTGTACGTCAAATTTGACAGTGTAATAATCATGGGTACAACAATAGTATGTTGTTTATTCAACGTCTACAGAGCGCAAATAATACAATCTTAGCCATTGTTACCTTACAAAAATCTTATTTGATAACTTACATAATATAGACAGAATTAGCTATTATTTTTCACAATTAATGCTGTACAATTGTTGTTCAGTTTTAACATGATTTGTATAAAATTACTATTTTAAGTTATACATTCAAAAGGATAAAATAATTTTTGTCTATTATGTACTTACTTTATTGATTAGAATTTCAATAGGTACATATTACAATACCAAACGAGCATATAATAACATAAAAAAAAACATTACATTACTAACCTTCTTTTAAAAATACGCTCCTGAGACTATATTCGTTTTATCAATACGGTGACTTATGTAAAATGTGTATCCGGTGTGGAGGTTTGCATAAAGACTTCTTTGATAGGTCGTTAACGCACTGTTGATAAGGCCACACTTGATTAAACATAATATTAACAATCCTACTACCTCTTTACCTTAGCTCTTTACAATCTTTCATGCATACTTTATGTAACAATAAGGAAATGTAAATAGGAACTTGGTATTTTATTTACCTTACATCGGCCTAGAATGATACGACCAACTTTATAGCCTTATTGTGTGGTAACCGAGTACCAACACGTCATGTTCTCATTAGTTTTTTGTTCATATGTTTAGCATTTACGTCTTCATACAGACTTTAGGCATGACAAGCAATAAAAAGACGATAGTTACGTTTCGTACAAAATAAAATTTATCGACGTGGAAAAAGTTTATTTAATACTTTAGGCAAGTACATATAGTAACGCAGTCCATACACATTAAATTTAAACTTTACCTGTGGGTCGCACACCTCCTGTGTACCTACTGGTACACACCTTTACTATTTTTTTTATCCTGAACTTGTTTAGACAGTCGCTAAATTTACTTAATATCATAAATGTATGCATCTCTTGGGCATATGGTGTTATTCAAGTATTACTCTTGTCTATATCCTAGTCACTAACAGAGATAAGATCAACAGAAAATAAATTAATGTCGACGACCTGATAGTGTCCTAATATCTAAGGTCATTCTTCTTATCTTTATGTGAATGAAAGATTGTTAATAAGTCGTTGATGATTAATTACCATAGATCTGAAGTACTGAAAATGGTGCAGTCATGATAAGAATGTCGTTGCCCTCGCTATCGGTCATGCACTATGGTCATAGAGTACACAAGGAACAAGCTTTAAAATATATGATAAAATTAACTCGTTATTTTTAATAGTTAGGAACATTATAAGAACTCAAACTCAAAATATCTTTATTCATAGTATAGGTAAACAAGTACACTTATGAACGTCAAAAAAGAATTTAAATTAATTGTAAATTTACATTTACTACCAGTTCGCAAGTCAAGGGCGTAGAGCGGGCAAGAAGAACTGGCAAGATCTTTCCGCCACTCTTTTTATTCGCTAAGTTTTGAGTCATACAAATTGTTTGAACTGGAGGATTGAAGAAGAAAGGGATAGCCGGGCAGAAGGTTCAACTGAATGCGCGAATGCGTTATTAGCTATTTAGAACTTGCCCCTTTTATTTAAGGACCTTAAGTTACTATTTTGGATATTCGACTATAATCAGACTTTACAATTCATATTAATTTCACTCCTAAACAAATAGTCAAGCAAACATTGTTTATATTAGATCTATACTAATTCATGTAAGGCGTTTAAAATGTAATCAACCTTAACAGTTAAGTTAGACAATGATTACCGTCTTCAATCGTCAGATTCAATGCTCCTGATTGATCACGGAAATATCCTCTCATGTCTGAGTGTATTTCACGAAATGTCCTCCGCCAGCAATCGTCAGTACTACGAATGCTGTCTCACATACACGGGCTCCGCACTAATACATACGGATTCCAGTAGAATGATTGGGTGATGAAAGCGGAATTTTGTTCTTCGGCCTACCGTACATATTTCATCATTGTCAATGGCTGGGCAGCACCTTATGGGACTTAGCCTCTGAAGTATCTTTCGGCATCGAAATCTATCGTCCAACTTCGAACACCTATCGTTTCGAGGTCCTTGGCAACACCACCCCCACAACTCAGCTTCGGTCTACCGGGTTTTCTCCTGCCACGTTTAATTAGACGTTGATGCCACCACCACATGAGGATATTGCATTTTATGAATTGTACGTTGTTGTCGTCGTTAAGAATGTTGGAAAGTTCTTTGAAGCGAATACACCAAACTTGTCCCTGACGACGGTCGACAACAATTCTTCGAACTATCTTCCAATTGATGATAAGGAGAGCAAGCTCGTCCTTCTTGCTAAGAGCCCAGGTTTCGGAACCATAAGTAAGCACTATTCGCTGTAGAGTTTTGTACAGACTTGGTATTCTTTCTAAGAGGTCGCGATTGTAGTAAGTATGGTATTAAATATTACAGTTACTATAGCAAAAATAGCAGTGATTTGTTACATATTATTAATACATTAATTATACTGTATACATAAGGAAAACCTGGAATATGATGAGTAATAAATTTCTAAAGACCAAAAAACCACAATGCCCTCATTGTTACCCCCTCATTTATAAAAACGAAATCTGTCTAACCACACTGTTTCAAGTAAAGCAAATCACAATTGCAGACTCGGGGCCCAGACAGAGAGTGTACTTTATTTAAAGGATTAATTATATTTAGTTTTTAAGAATAAGACCTTTATACCCAAATAAAAAACAAATGAAACGTCACATTTCATTATCATGGTGACCGATAGCCGAAAATCGCATTATACGGTGCCCGATAAAATTCTATATCATAATATAAATCGGTCATTGTTTAATTAATTCTTACATATAAGCCTGGAGATATGTCACGCTGATAAGTTATTTTTCGAAGACAAGAAAGACGTCGATTCGATTCATTAATATATAGGATTTTGACTTTCTGAATCTCATCTACATTTGTAATTTGAATTAAAATGTACCTTTATATTTTATAAATTTTGCCTTAATTCTATGGCTCAATGTATTAAATAAAATGTCTAGGAAGCAATACCCTCTGTACTAGATGTGTAAGCTTTATACAGCTAGCGTACAAAACGTATTATCTTGAAATCAATTTATCTTTATGACTAGGATTTTCTCAAACCTAAATATATATATCTAAAACATAATTAAGTACAATGTCTTTGATAACATAGATTAGATTAAGTGGTTATACTTGTTACTTTCCTCAAATACATACTAACTTTGGTATTAAATCACTCAAAATTTGTATAAATCAAAATGTAGATATTAATTCTGTTAAAATTTACAATAAGTGTAATTTCTCTATGTTAATTATTGTGACACTTATCATTTGATTTATTTTGAAATAATTTTCATTCGGTTTCAATTTGTCTTTCAGTTTAATTTTATTCTAAATAAACACATAATATAATATAACAATAGGCTTGAAACATTTCCCTTTTATTAACGAGTGTACTATACAATATAATGTTAGATTTTCCGCGATGTAATTACACTAACACTTATGATCATATGAAACGATCTCAATTGGCGCTATCAATGCAATCGTACGCACAGCGTAATGTACTATTTCAGGCAGGGGCAATGACCGACATATCGCTCATTTAGCTATAAACAAAGTTTATCGAACGCATACAATAGAACGACAATAAAGCCTGCATGGCGTTTTTCCTTACAAATGTACAATTATTTATGCGTTGTTTCTCAGTTAATTGTGAAATGTAAGTTGTCAAAACTGTCATAAGCCATAGAGAACTGTTTGGCAGTTATCAAAGTTTTGGATATTAAAGGTTTTTAATTTGTGATGATTTTTTTTTGACATAAACATTAAAATAATATATATATATATATATAACAACTTGACTTGATTAAGAAATCCACCGAGAATTTCAACCTAATTATGGAGAAGAAAACATTATACGTATTGTATTGTAAAAATTGGTAACACATTTACCTATTGTTCATCGACGATTTTCATTTAACGTAAATATTTTTAAATAGCATGGAAACACGATAAACTTTAAAGACTTTATTAAGTACTTAAAAGTGAAACAGATCATTAAACTGATAAGAAATATGAGGAGCGACTGAGTAAGTTGACCTCATTACACTTACGCCGATTTCTATACGTTACAGAACTATCTATCTATCTTTTTAACTGTCTTTATAAACATAAATTTGTTTACGAATTTATCAGGATTTAGTGATCTGTAATTCTTTTTTTAATATGTAAAATTTAATATTTTTAAATGGCGAAAATAATATTACATTCCTTAGAATACAGCCAATATTTAAACTAAAATCAGAGACGATATTACACCTAGCTTCTATTAATTGCTACAAGTATCCTGATGTGTACACAGCCTTATAGCAAGTGTTAGTTAAAAGT